TGCAAGTAAAAGGAAGAACCATATATCTATATAGTGCTATAATGATAATTAAACATATGGACAGAGAAAAGTCAAGTGTCAATAAAAAGTAGAAAGAACATTATTAATAGTAAAATCACATTGATATTATAAAGCATAACTGTAAACAAAGAAAATATAGAAAAAAAAAGAAAATACCAGAGAATAAAAAACAGAAAAGGATTCTGATTAGATTTATCAACTTTCACAGCTTCCTTTTTTTTTTTATTTCATTTTAGTTTGTAACTTGAAGTTGATCAAAATCGAAATTAGGAAAATGCTACCTATACTGAAAGTAGAGTTCTCCGGTTGCTAAAATTACCTGGAACCGGGAATGCGGTTCCAGTTCGAGATAATGAAAATGAAAAAGAAAACGGTTCCAGTTAGGTTTTCAAAAAATCATGTGAAATCAGAACCGCTAAATCACAAGATATGCGGAAATTTTGAAACTAATTTTGCGAAATCTTAACTCCTGAATTGTTGACATTATAGGCAGCTCACACTTTATTACTTAGATAAAACAATATTCCACATATGTACTAGAATTTTTAATCTAAAAACTTAAAGAATCAAGATTTCTCAAAATTGGTTTTACTTTTTTTCATTTATCTATGTCTGTACAGTTCCAATTCGGTTTTCGATTCCAGTTTTTTAGAAACCACCGAACTCTTAAAAAGTCTACACTAAAATTGAACATGAATATTGGTCCAATAGATACATGGTGCTTGATGACATAAAACCACTAAATTACGGCTATTCACAAATCAATTCATGTCTTTTTTTTTACGTATGGATCTTCCTTTTGGAAAAAATGGTTTGCATTGCATGTTATCAATAGCTAAAGATAAGTTGTTTTAGGCTTACAATACAAGCCGATAGATTTGTTTGGATGAGCTAGTGAAACAAAGAATTTCATCCTAAATGGTAGGGTTATTTCTTTTGGTCAGTATGCTCTTCGCCGAAAGCCACATCGCCGAAATGCAGATCGCAGAAATTCTGCGATGTCAGTTTCGGCGAACTATGGTTTCGGTAATGTGACTATCGAGGATTTGTTGTTTCGGGGATGCTACTGTCGGCGATCTTTCATTTCGATGATGTGGTGAATGGCAATGGTTTTTGTGTTTTTACTGTATTTCTTTAAAAAGCTGAATCTATTGGTGTTATATTAGGATGATATTTACCAAATAAGACTTACTCTTCAGATAATTCCTCGCGTGGTACTTGCTCTTCTAGCGATATTGATTTCCCAAGGATAGTTGCTCTCACATCACTTAGTACTCTAAAACTAAAAGCACGATTGATGGTAAAAGGTGTGGATGATGATATGACAGACAATAACGTTGCAGGTATAAGTGAGTACAATATCTACAATGTATCTAAATGTTTTTGATCTTTTAAGTATAAAGTTAGGTACTAAATCTTCGTTGGTAACAAAGTTTTGCGAGACTAACTGTCTAGCGAGAATATAATCTCCAAGTGACCTTTGTTACTTTGGAGCAAGTTTTTAAAGAGTAGGTACTAGAAGAGCAACTGTCTGAGCTCTATGTGTGGTCGATTTACTTCTTATACTATATATAAATCACTCCACATGATAAAGTATTCAGAGAAAAACGTAGGGCATTTTCGCCGAAACGAAACTTACATACAAAGATGATCGAAAGATATTCGACGATCTTCATTTCGATGAAGTTCATTTCGAAGATTTCTATTTCGACAATGTTGGTTTCGACGATCTACCTTTTCGGTAACCTTCGTTTCGGCGCGAGTTTCGGCGATCTGAGTTTTCGGCGATCTTGCTTTCGGCGATGAGGCACACAACCATTTCTTTTTTCTATCTTCTATCCTCTATATTCTTTTGTATATTTTTAAGCAGTTTAACAAAAAAAAAATAAATAAAAATAAAACATAGTTAGTTTATCACAATCATAGTTTATCATATATTAATCACCATGATGAGCACTTGTATCAGTTGTTAAACCTTTAGCATTTGTATTATTATCATCACCTTTAAAACTTGTATCAGGTTTTAAACATTTAACACCTTTATCATCACCAGGAACTTCAACACTACCAGCAGCTTGACCACCACCAGGAACTTTAACATCTTTACTATCACCTTGTTTTTGTTGATAATCATCAAGACTTGTATCAATGTGGTCAAGTATTATTTTCATTAATTCTTCTTCATCATAGAATTTTCTAAAATTTTTTTAAAGAATTTTTTAAATACAAGTAAATTATTTATCTTACCCTTCATTAATATAATTAGCTGTATGTAGAAACTTCGAACACGGTGTGGGTGTGAGTGTGGGTGTGGGTGTGGGTGTGGGTGTGGGTGTGGGTGTGGGTGGGTGTGTGGGTGGGGGTGTGGGTGCGGGCGGGGGTGGCGGGC